TATATATATATACAATTATCTAACTTCCACTAACTTAACATCCTAATCCATTAATGCCAACTAACTATAACTACCATAACCAACTGTTGACAGCTGGCTAACGACTTCACTGCTAGTTGGCATACTACTTGCTATTCTCACTACCACCACCTCCAAATCTTTCACCTATTGGATTCTCCCTCTCTTGCACCTGAGGCAGAGATTCCACTACTTCTATATTTACACCATGTGTTGTTTTTTGGCTTGCAAGAAATTCGTTTAAGTTCTCAGTAGATACATCTAAAACTGCCCTTTTCCATCACCTGTCAAAGTAAGACCGTTGATTGATCCAACCTTCTCTTCGGGCAGGAACCTCCTCGAGACACTATAGACAAAGGAAGATAAACTAATGGGCCTCCCGCACTCAAGAAGCAGGGTAACACAATTTTCCATAGAAGTACGAATTTGAACCCCGTTTTTACTACTTAAAAATCAACCAGTTGTGCTCTGATTTTTTAATAGTGGTAATTGTTTATGTTAAAAGAATCTCTACAATGTATTTGATAAATTTCTCACGTGAACGTTTTTGGGAATAGTATAATATGTTTTGCAAGTTATGTTCTTGTTGCACTAAAAACTGCTGAAGTAATTTGCAATAATTAAAAAAAAGGGATTGTTAATGAAATATCTTGTAATTGTATAAAGATTAGTGGAAAGTGAGTACATGATACATTTAATCAGTTATGTTTGTGTCTTGAGTTTAATTTCTCTCTTAAAACACATGAGGACTAAGTTTCCATTAAGATTTCACCTTATATTTATACTACCAATAAGGAAAGGAAAAAATATTGATAACTACTCGGTTTTACCAATGTTATGAAAGTTGTTTTAGTTAAACAAATATTAGTCGTTGGATTTAAAAGTAGATTATAGGTGTATGAATTGAGATGTGCACCCGGACAAACTAGAGAGATATCATGCTGGAGGGGAGCTAGTTCCATTTAAAAGTATCATTTGGGACGGGTTAGCCCATTTCCGGTCTGACCCGATAAAAAGTTGGAACAAAAAGGCCCGGCTGGGCTTGGGAAGGGATCGGACACGGGGTATTGGAGCGAGAGCTGGGCTCTCAAGGCTCTGGGCCCGGGAGACCAGCCCACATATGAGCTTGGTCTCAGCCCACCGGGACGGTAATGATAATTTATTTTTAAATCTGGCCATTTTCAGCCGTTTGCAGTTTGACTATTGGCCAACGTCTATAAACGGCCAAAATTGCCTCCCCATCCCCCAAACACCCCTAACCTAATTTTAACTATAAATACTCATAATTTTTATTTTTATTTTTTACACCTTTTCTACCTACTATCTCTGATTCTCTTTTTGCTCACTTATATTGTCAGATTTTGATTTGTATAATTAGATAGTCCTCCTTATGTTGTCTAGACTCTAAGCAAGAACAAGTCCCGTGTGAATGTTTTTTATAAATAGATACAAGTACGATTCAATTTAGTACTTGAATATATTAACTATGAGCACAAGGATAATAGAGTGGGACGCGTCATCTAGTTAGACACTTGTTTTATAAGCACCCATATGTAAGAGATGAAGTAGAAAACTACTTGAAGGTTAGAGACTGCATTAGATTGGAACAAAGAAGAAAAAAGGATTAGAAGATTGTCCAGAGTTTGAAATTGAAGTTTCTCTTTGTACTTTGTAACTTATATGCTTTAAAATTTGGAAATTAAAATCTAAATCGAATTTGCATTGTTATGAATTGAAGTTTGAAAATTAAAGCTAGTAGTAGGGAAAAAGCTAGTGGTAAATGGTTGAAACTTTAAACGGTCGTAATTTTACACTCGTTTATGCAATTTATATGTTTTTGTTATTTCATGTATTTTTTTCAAGATCTAGGTGGACAAACTGCTGTTTGGTGGTTTGACCGAGCCAATTTCGAGAAAAAAAAATTATGTTCCTTTTGAATTTATATTTTGTCCCAGATCGGTACCAAACTTTAATCTTTTGTTATATAAAAGTTTATGCAAAATAGTAGATTTCAACATCAAAATAGTTGCATATAGCTCATGCGAATATCAATTTTAATGAGCAAAAAAGTACAACAAAATAAAAAATAATAATAAACCCCGGCCCGCCCTGTTTCTGCCCACGAAAATCCTAACTGAGTTTGGGGCCGGGCTTGATAGCATTTTTCCTTGAAAACCATAGCCCTCGAACCGGCCCCCTAAGGGCGGCCCGGACTTGCCCGAATCAATAACCGGAAGGGCTCCCGGGGGTTGACACGGCACAGACTGGATGGTGCAACTCTAAGTAGTAGAACTAAAATATCATTACAACGTGGTACAACCACCTTTCAGAATACAAACCATAATACTTCTTAAACATACTACTTCTCTTATCCAATTTGTGCTTCATTTGGAAATTGGATGTCATATCCACCAACACAAATGGCTCTTTCTCTTCAAGAATGGTGCCATTTTCATGAACGGCCACCACAATGGCACTTTCGAATATTAACATTTGGTCTAACTCAACTCCAATAAGCTAGATCATGAGCTGAGAATTGTTCAAAACCATATAAGGAAGAATCATTTATATTTTCCCACCTGATATAAGACTCAAGACCCCCTCACGATCGGAACTGGATATCTGAAGCGTGAACAATATTTGGGGATCAACATTGGATAAATTGGGATGAACTTGGATGTGATACCATGATAAAGAAATGGACTTTAGGCTTAACTAAACCCCAAAACTATTTCTTCGGATAAGAATTGCCAATACCATAAAATGAGATCCATTTATTTTTTCCTACCCGATGTGACACTCAATAGAACATCGGAATTGCCACCACAATGGCATTTCCGAAAACACCGGAACGGCCACCACAATGGCACTTCCGAACACCGGAACGGGACAATTAGCCATGGCAATGACGAAGAGTTATTGGGGAGCTCCAACTCTATTAAGGCTAATTGGTTTTCAGAGCTTAGCGCATCATTGCCAGGATAGTGCTGAGAAAAAACTCTAATGGTGTAATTGAACTAGTCTGCTCACAATGCAAGAAAATAACAACTTGGTGGAGAAGGTGATTCCATCCAGAAAATTAGGGTTATCTTAGCTGAAATATTTTATCCTAGTCATTGTTCAATTATTTTGCTGAATTAGAGAGATGCAATAAGATTCACAAGGCAGAGAGTTCTTTCTTAACTATAAAAGAAAGGAACAGAAATCCCTACTTTTTTTTACAGTGTTATGGATTTGCATCTAAGCTTAAAAATTTTAGTTCTACTTTTTTTTTTTTTTTTGAAGCGCTGATCATAATTAGGTTGGGATTGAGGCATAGTTATTGTTGTAAATTTTTTTCCTTAATCATTCAACAAATACCAAACTTCATATCCCATATGAATCAGAAGCAATATCCAACATAAGCAAATCGGTAAGCTGCAGTAAAGAGGCCATAGAAACAAAGACATTTCAAACCATCATACTTCTGAAAAATGAGCAAACAAACTGCAACGACGATGACGCCATTTATTAAAAAAGAGAGACTAGGCCGATTTAGATACAGAGTAACTTAAAAATATGAATATTACAATTCCAAAACATAGACCAAAACCTTAATAAGATCGCAAATCCCATAGTAAAAACAACACCACGGTAACTATGAGATTTGTTGGCTTTAGTACACTGAAAGAAGGATAATGAACTGATTTGCGAGGATCGAATTGGAACGTCCATTTTAAAACTTCAGCAGGAAAATTTATATTAAAGTACCAAACACCACAGAGAAAGAATTTTACAACAATTAGTGAATTGGAAATTATGATAATTACTGCAGAATTCTCATACAATACGTTGCATTTCACTTATTTATTCACTTGATTAAGACTTGATCTTGGTCCAATGATTGTACGACCAGTGTTCATTATTCACTTGATTAAGACTCGATCATACTTCGGGCGAAAGATGGCAAAATGAATGCTGCTTTGTGAATCTGAAAAAAAAAGACAATATGAAAAGAGTTAGTTATAAAATTTGATGAAGAACATACAGTAAAACGGAAAAAGAAATTGTGAGATATGAAGTTACATCAGAGTTGTAGAACTTGAGAGGTCCTAATTTGGACTTGACTTGAGTTGTCTCTTTGTCAATTGGATTTACTGGATTCTTGAAGTTAACTTCTGGCCCTTCAGTAGAGCAGAGCATATAACCAATCACACCGCTGAAATCAAAATATTTAAGACATCATTGATCAGTATCAGTTGAGAAAACTTAAACACAATTCCTTGAAAGTTTACTTGAAATAAAAATTTGCTCACTCTGTTTCAATTTTTGTGACATAATTTGAAACTTATTGTATGGCCACAACATTTATTTGACANCCATAAGTTGCTGACTGTACGTGCACATGCAATAAACTAAAAGTAAATTAAAAGTATCACTTTAGATTAAAGCATGTGTATCAGAATATTAATTACCTCAAAGAGCATGACATCTTGGTAATCAGATTTCCCCTGGAATAGTAACTTCTCGACCTTAAGTGAGAATGCTTCACCTGCAAAATTAGATTATTTCAAATTAATGTATGCGAGTTTACTTCGTCATAATTTATCCATATTATAAATTATACACAAACCAAAATACAAGAGTACGATGCATTTGAGTTTCTTTCTTAATACTAACCTGGCCATAATGCGCTAAACTCTGAAAACCAACCAGGCTTAATAGAGTTGGAGCTTCCCAGTAGCTCGTTGCCATTGTCATGGCTGATTGTCCCGTTCTGTTGTTCGGATGTCCCATTCTGGTGGCCGTTCCGATGTTCGGAAGTGCCATTCTGGTGCCCGTTTTGGTGTTTGGAAATGCCATTCTGGTAGCCGTTGAGGTGTTCGGAAGAGCCATTTTGGTGGCCGTTCATGGGAATGGTACCATTCTTGAAGATGGTAGAGCCATTTGTGTTGGTAGATATGACTTCCATTTTCAAAATTAAACTAAACAAATTGAAGAAGAGAAAGTATTATGGTTTGTATTTTCCGAAAGCTTGCTGTACACTCCCATTAAACATCTATGCATTTAAATACAATTTGGACACCGAGGAGTGGAGGGCGCAACTCGATATAATATAATAGAGTTAAAAATTTATTACAACGTGCAGGGTTAGACTGACATTTTGGAACTAAAATATAAGTTTGTCTCGGTGCAATTATTAGTAAATTAGTACCCTAATTTCACTAGTATATGTGTGTGCTCATTAATTTCTCTCTCCTTTTTTAAAAATTGCTTTAATCGTCTGCTTTCTTACTCCGGATCTGTTTACTCCTTAGGCAAAACTGTTTTTATCCAAATAAAGTATTTGACAAATGATGTACCATTAAAACAAAAGTAAACTGACAACTGACGTCCATGAAGTCTAGGTTATTTGTAGGATACATTCAAGAGTTCAGGTAAATTGTACTTTTTTTCTCCTCTTCTTGTTTATTCTAAATAACCTGGCAAATTTCTACATAATCAACATTACACATCTTATTATTGGGAGCTTTAGATTACCTCTATGTGATGTAACCTACATAATGTATCCTACTTTCGTGAGCTACAATTATTTTCGTGATAGCAGCAGAGATATTGCATTAACATTGGTTGTATTATGTTTTGGGGGTTGAATTGATTTTTGCATATGATGTTGGTACTAAAAAAAGATTAATCTATGATTGAGCTTGATGTTTTATATTTCAATGACACACAATAAGGGTGATTTGCGTGGTGTCCAATTTTTCGCGTGCACAGATTATAGGACATGGTTCTTCTACGTGTTCCTTACACTACAGTTGTGGAATAGTAAATGCAAAAAGTAAAGAACACAAGTATTTTTACATGAAAAATACCTGGTTCAAAAGGTGAAAAAACCACGACCTACTTTCCAATAGGATTTTTCCCAACTCCACAAAATCACTGAGCCAAAAAAAGCATTTACAAAATTCTTGTAAACCTAAGGATTATCTCTAACCCTTTGTGGAAACCAACCTCAGGCTATTACGACAACTTCAAGTTAACTCTAACTTGAACAATACACTCAGAGTACCTAGAACAAATGCTTCTAGAGAACACTAAAAGGTACAACTCAAAAGCCCTGCTACAATGAAACTAGAATAAAAGACAGACACTTGGAACTGGTTCTTCTATCTGGTTCATGTAGCTTCAGGTTCGCACACTTGAAACATACAAGAATTGTTCACAAAATGCCTTGTTATTTTTCTCTCAACTCTTTTTTAACTTCAACGTTTGTGCGTACCTGTAAAAGAGAACATAATTGATATTTATAGAGTTAGTAGAATAAGATTAACTAGAGTTCTAGTGTTATACTCTCCATGGTGGAGGAGTTCTAGTTATCTTCAATTTCTAATTTCGCCCTTATTTATGATAGAATTTTCTTCAAGTAAGGAGTCCTACTCCTTATCAACTATGCAACCTTTTCGTTCAGGAGATATCAGGTATAACCACTTGTGCTTATCCACTTCACGTGCATTCCTTGTGCTTGAATCTGCCCGTGCCCTGTGTACAATGTGTATGGACCTGGTTCATATCTGTGTTTCTTTGTCAATCATCAAAACAAACTTACTGAGACTAATAAATTCCCCATTTTTTATGATGACAAACTATGTGCTTTTCATAAGCATGAAACATGTTTCAACTTAGCTCAACATCAACACAATGTTAGAACACTTTCCATTTTAAATTCACAAATCATCAAGGACCAGGTTCATTAGGTTATAAACATCACAGTCCAAAGCAAAAGCACAAACTATCTACCCTCTTTTGGCATCATCGAAAAGTTGCATAATTAAGTTATATAACCAGATTTTAGCAGATCTTACCCATGGGCTACTTCAAATGCAATCATGGAGTTAAGTATCGCTTATCAATCTAAGTATATTAGCCATCTAAGAAATATCAACAAATAATTATAGAAAAAGTAGTGATTATCATTGATAAGAGTTATCCACAAGACATAGAAGGAAATAAAAGTACTGCACCATGAGCAAAAAGACAAAAAAACATCCCATCGGTCACTGGTTTTCTAACTAGGCTAGGAAGGGTTTAAGGCGGGGAAAGACCAGGTTCTTGGTTTTTGGCTTGAAGTAGCTTTAGCATGTCATGAAGAATGCCTTCATTCTTCTTTTTCACCTTTGCAAGCTCAGACCTGAGAGCATCCCTCTCAGTTTCTACTTCAGCCAGCCTCTTATTCAGCCTCTCAATCTCAGCATTCTTAGCCCCACTCTCCTGCTCCAGGGCTCTCACTTTGCTGTTCATAGGCACCCTCTTGGATGAATCAGGTTTTTTGGGAGCAGCATGGACTTCATAGTCATAGGAAATCAAGGTATTGGCTCCAAAGTGATCTTTACTTGTGATAACATCCCATTTCTTGAGGGGAGCCTTGAAGTGATCCAGCACAACAGTGAGAATGAACCCATAGGGTATGGTATGAGTTTTGGTGCCAGAGAGTACCCTATCAAGGAGTTGGATGATAATTCCCGGCCAGTTGATCTGCCTCCTACTATCCAGGCACTCTATAAGGACTAGGTCCGTGAAAGTTGCAATGTGCTTTCTCTCTTGCCTGGGCAGAACAACGTTGTTGACAAATTCAAAGAGCAGCTTATGGGTAGGCTTCATTTCACACTTATACACAGCCCTGACTATAGCTCTATGTCCTGTCAACAAATTTCTTGGTAATGGCAAGGGAGGTAGGTAGGTTTTCTAGGCTTGGTCATTTCAACTTCTTGTAATCATTGTACCCTTCAACAGGTACCTCTAGAATTTCTCCTAGTTCCTTGTCATCAAAGCTCACGGTCACCTCTTTTACTACACTGGTTACTCTGCCATTCTTGATCTAACAGTTTGCAAGGAACTCCACAATTTCAGCTCGGGCTAGTTTTCCTTCCAACTGAAGGACCATGTCCTTCATGCCATGAAATTCTAGCTTCTCCGGCAGCATCACCATTCCTTCCTCCTCCAATCCCCTAAGGAGCCTACCCTTCAAAATTCTTCTTCCACTACTTGCACTTTTCTTGATTTCCTGGCACACCCGGTTCTTTTTGCCAAGGCAGAAGGATCTGTATCAACAGTCTTTGAAGGGGACATCTTTTTGGAAGTCTGTCTTTTCTTTATTTTTTGGAGTCACAGCCTCCACCTCCTCTGCCTCGTCTTCATCGTGAAGGACTAGGTCAATCTCCTCATTTAAACTGTCTCAACTGGTTCATTCACTTTCTTCTTTCCCTTTTCAGCTGCTTTTCTTTTACTCTCTGCTAAGGCCCTTTTGAGGTCAGCCTCACTTTGCTTCCTCTGACTCCTTGTAGCTCTTTCTCTTGTAGGAGGAGTCTCTACAGGGATAGAAGAGGCAACCTTTCTCTTTTTATATGCCCCAACAATTCGAGGGATTTTAACTCCTGAACTTTTCTTCTTCTTTGGATTGTAGCTATCAGACACCCTTTTTAGTAAATCTTCGAGGGGTTCCTTCACATATAGAACATGTTCTTGGAACCTCTTCCTCAACCTAGCCAGTCCCTCATCTGCACTTGCATCTCTAGACCCATTGCCTCCTTCTTCTCTCCAACTCTCTTCCTCCTCAATGGCTTCCTCACTCCATATCACCATTTCTCATATTTCCTTAGTCAAACCAAAAGGAATGGGTGAAGATTCAATCACTCCTTCTTCTCCCTTCCCCTGACATCTCCTATAACGCCCTCACTCTCCTTTTCTTTTCTCTTTTTATTTTTACCACCAATTTTACCAGACTCAGGGGTCTCTACACCAGCAATACTACCAACAAGAATATATATGTTCTCCAGATTCTCAGCCACATCAGAAATGACATCAGACATAATTTTTAGCCCAAAAGTTACCAGTTCTACTTTAGACGAAACAGGTTCTTCCCCCTCAGTTGCAAACTTGAAAGATTCTTCATATTTTTGGGGTTCCTCTACTTAACTGGCCTTTAATTTCTCATCTAATTTCTTTGATAGTTCACTACCAGCCATTATTTTATGAACAAGCATCTTGACTTGTCCTTTCTTGGAGGTAGGGGTGGTTGAAGGTACGGGTGATGGTTCCTTCGGTGGCGAAGAAGGGTTTTCAGAAGGGTTTGCCATTTGATGTGTGTATGAGAGATGTGTGTGTAGAAAAGATGAGAGAAGATAGAGAGAATTTTTGGCGTCTTGAATTTTCTTCAAAGATTAGAAGTGAAGAAATGATTAAAGTTTAAGAAATTTGAAGAGGGAGATTTGGAGTGGGTAATGACTGCTTTTTGAAGTTCATATGTCTAATTAATCTGGGAAAGGCAGTTTGAATAGACGTTGAACTCTTCTCTAGATTCTAGGCAATTGTGGCGCGTGGACTCTTTTGGTGAAACTGGTTCATTTGTAACAGATAGGTTTGAAGGAGATTTGGATTAAATGGGACTCATTTTTTTATCATGATCCAATTACAGTTATTTCAAAATATGCCAAATGGAGAGTACATACCATATAATCTTGATGAATCAGGTTCTTCATTAAAAATTCTCTTGTGTAAGTCTGAATTTTTCAAGAAAATAAGAGTAATACCATTAGATATTAGTGAGATTACAGTTATTTCAAAATAAGCGAAGTGGAGAGTTCATACCATGTAATCTTGATGAACCAGGTTCTTCACTGAGAATTATCTTGTGTAAGTCTGAATTTTCCGAGAAAATAAGAGTAATACCATTAGAGATTAGTGAGATATTTTAGCACATGACACAAGAGTATACTAATAAAAGTATGAGACTGAGCAAAATCTAATCTAATTATTTACAAAATTCACAAATTATATAACCAATAATCGAGTTAGAACTGGATCCTTCAAGGTGATCTTAATCATCCATAATTTTAATATGTTCCTTTCAAAGAGATCTCTACTTATAGCTTTTGTGAATATGTCAACTATTTGCTTGTTAGTAGCACAAAATTCCACAGTAATCATACCTTTCTCATAGTTGTCCCTCAAAAAGTGATGCCTAACATCTATGTGCTTAGT